AAAAAAATCTGGAAAATTGTGCAACAAGATATTAACACACACTGAATTTACTGCACGACGGTTTACAATCTTCAAAGGAATCCGAGTTTTTGAGGTAAATCGAAAAATTGTTTTCACGCTGTGTCTCACATAGCGTATAAAAGAAATATAATAAAACAGAAGCTCTGATTATCCCATATAGATTGAACTTCTCTGGTTTTCTTTTAGGGGTAAAATATGGCCTTTAATAACTTGAAATCCTCTTCAAAGTTCCTGCCGTAATTATAGTAATGAAAGCGGTTGACGATTTGCTTTATACAGTAAAGTTGAAGCCAGCTCTACAAAATGGTACTTGAAGGGAGACGAAAACGTTTTAGGAAGAGTGGTATTTACTGTTAAACAGCGTATACATACTTTTAGGACATTCTGAACACTTAAAGAAGATGTACGAAGATGTGTATAGGCCTGACTCCCAATGTTGCAAAATTTTTGTTGAATTTCGGTTTTTTCGATTTGCAGTGTATCTGTACGAACTGATATAGTTTAGGAAAAGAAATGATTTACTATTTTTTCCAGAAGCTTGAAACGCTCACATTGCATCTTCAGACTAACGAATGCTTGAATTTCAACTGTTAAAATATTGAAATGCCGCATTAGAATACGATCCTATTTTCGCCTGATGACAACCTTCTGTTTTGACTATTGTAAAAAGATCCTTGCTTGATTGCCCTAAGATTAGCCAGGTTTCTCGAATTTCATTGTGCAATACTCAATTTCCTCTCAAAAAGGTCTCGGACTTCACAAACATAACATATTTGATAACAAGTTTCTATCAATTCTTGGAGATCCGTGAAAAACTCAATGTGTAGCAAATGTAACGTTTCGGCAAAGAAATCAATATCAAACTTTTATATGAACAAAATCAACAAAAGAGTTTATAAAAGTTCCAGCTTCTACAGCTCGTCGACATAAAGCCTACTTCATAGATGTAGTTATCAAGTGATTTGAAAGCAGCGGAATGGTGTGCCTACAACTTGACCTAAGGAAAACACTGACACGAATACGATAAATATCTTCAAGTTGAAGCAAAGCATTGAAGAGCAGTTGACACAAATGAGGTTATTGTTAATCAATCTCTGAATTTGAGATGTAAGCTAACTGTACATTGAGTAATAATGATGTTGAGATCTTAAGATCACACGGTTTCATCCGAATAAGCCGAATCCAGGTCCACCGAAGCCACCGAAGCCGGATCTGCCGAAGCCGCCAAAACCGCGATTGAAGCCACCACCATAACCACCTCGTCCAAATCCACCGTATCCACCTCGACCGAATCCTCCAAAACCGCGGTTGAAACCATATCCTCGATTAAATCCTCCACCAAAACCGCGATTGAAACCGCCACCGTATCCTCGATTGAATCCTCCAAATCCACGGTTGAATCCACCGTAGCCACCTCGTCCAAATCCACCGTAGCCACCTCGTCCAAAGCCACCGTAACCACCTCGGCCAAATCCACCGTAACCTCGGTTGAAACCGCCACCGAAGCCTCGATTGAATCCATATCCTGGATATCCTCCACCAAATCCGCGATTAAATCCGCCGCCGAAGAGGTTGGAGCCGAATCCTCCGAACTGTGCAAAAGTATCAGTAACTAGCAAAAATAGAATAACAGCGACCAATCGGCTCATTCTGGAAACGAAAGATTCTTGGACGGTCCACAGTAATAAGTGAGCAAGGACGATTTGTGACGCAACATATATGGAGGAACTAGCATTTCCAATAAACAGGCTGCTGTGTCAGCAAGTAACTACATCAAACCGTGTCTGATAAGCAAAGTACTGGGTCTTCGCTAAAATCGGGCAAATTTTTCTTATTGTAAAGAGCTCTTCTAGAAGGATGTTTATAATCTGTTGTTAACAACAGGAAGATTACACTAGCACTTTAGTTGATAAATCTATGTACCCTCTTTCTTCGCTCTATTGCGGTGGTGGGCGATTCCCGAGGAATAGAGAAAATGGAGGGGGAGCGGGTTGATGTCAAAAAGTGTTACTACGTCATTCTTCGAAAAAATATTTCTTACTGATTCTTTCCTCTATTACAGTTGAAGAGTTTTGCAACGGCAGATTGATTATAGGGGACTAGGAAATTAAAAGACAGAACTTCCGAAGTTTCGGGAATGATGCCAAACAATAAAGTGTTAGAATTACTTTGTTGACACTCCCGAGATTGTTACATCTAAACAAATGTGGAATGCGCATCAATCAACACATTCAGGGCAGGTTACTGCCCCACATAGGGCATAGCACCGTTTCATAAATAAAACTTGTGTAACAATAACTACTTTTCATGGCTAGTGCGAAGGTCAGCTATTCAACAAATGGGTAAAGTATGTCACCATCCAATGGCAGAAAGCAAAGCTCAGAGTTGGTCTGCAACTGTTGGTGTTTATATAGATGTGTACAGTACGTAAAGATTGAAAGCATTTCGATAATTTGTGAATTAAACTATTGTGCAGAAAACAGGAAAGAATCTC